AATGAATTTCTTGTTTCTTAATATAATAATAATGGTAATAGTCTTTATTTCCAATCGTATTTCTACAAAATATGAAATTAAATTGCGTCACAGGGATTCTTGTTGGTTCTGTCATCATGCTATATAATCTCTAAATACTATATGGCCTTAAATCTGTTAACAAATTTTTGACCCTTATTCTAAACATTTTCTGACATACTATATATTTGGTATCACATGGTAAATAATTAAATAATTTTAGACACATATGACTTGGGTGTTTTTCGGTTAGAGTTAACATTCGCAGTTCTTGTGTTGTAGTCGTGTGCTATTCCTAAGTCAAACAAAGTTTTGTGATCGAAAACAATGTTAAACAGGCAAAAACGTAAATAGCATAGAGAGTGAGTATTCTGCGTGTTCTAAACACTCCTCTACAGCTTTTTCATTCATTCATCAGCAGCTTCATTTATTTTTACTCATGATCTTGGTCTTATTCAGGTTTTTTTTAGTGCCACCCGCAGGGACTTTTCATGGAGTTCTTTCATCATGATCTCTATTTCATTGGGGTCGCTGCTCACACCTCACTTAACACAATATCATCGGGAAAGCGTAGGTGGTTGAAATATAAACCGTTCACATGTATACCTCTTGCTTCCCAGGGCAACTTCTTAAATACATCTTCCAGAGCCAATGTAAACAATTTGGGTGAGACAACATTCCCTTGACAAACGCCTCTGTTCATTGAGATTTGATCTGATATTAGATCTTCATCTATTGTAACCTGCATTGCTGCATGTTCGTAGATTTATTTTATGAGGGTGGAGTATCTTGTATCTATTCTGGCTGTCTCCATTGCTGTTGGAAACGCCCATGTTTCTGTCTAGTTAAACGCTTTATGTTAATCTATAAATAGCATATGGAGAGGTATATTGTATTCAACACTTTTCTCGATTAGGTGGTGGATTGCTTGTAGGTGGTCTGTTGTGTTAATACTTTTTCGGAAACCTGTCTGTTCAACTGGTTGGTAAAAGTCGAATTTCTTTGAGAGGCGGTTTGTAACAATATTTGTCAGAAGCTTGTAAATGTGCGATAGGAAACTTATTGGTCGATAGTTTTCCATATTTGCGGTATAAAATAACTTCTGCGTTTTGCCATGTTTTGGGGATCTTTCCATGGTGAAGGCATTTATTTAGAAGTATGCGGATTGCCTCTTCTAATACATCTCCCCCCCCCATTTTAGTCCTTTGAGTTGTTATTCGATCTTCCCCAGGCGATTTTCTGTTCTTCATTTGTCTGAGCGCTAACACAACTGCTGATCTATATCAGGGATCTCTTCGGAGCCTACATTCGTGATCATTTGTGGCTGGGTTATTGGTTCTGGGGTTATTGAACTGCATTAATTTTGGTAAAAGCTTTGAATCACGCTTTTGATTTCGCTTTTGCGGTTCACGATTATTCCCTGTTTATTTCTAATTTTACATATTTTTATCTGACCCTTTGATAGCTTTGATCTTAATACACGTATGTTTTTATTATCTTCTATTGTGTTTTCAATCAATCTGGCATTATGTGCTTGTAGATCTTTTCGGATTTTTTTGTGGATGATTTTGTTTAATTGATTGTATTCATTTGAATCTCTGCTCCTATTTCCCCGTTTCTCCATTAGCTCGATTGTGTTCGATTGAAGCTTTGATCATATCATACATATCTGTTTAGTTTTAGTAGCTGTTTGAATTCTTTCTGTAATTTTCTACGATGGGACATTTATCTCTCAGCCTTCCAATGGCATTAATTCCTTATTTAGAGTCTCCTGGTACTTACCCTTTTCTATCCCAATTTCTTCCAGTGTTGCGTAGTCATGTTTTCGTGTTAGTTTATTGCGTACAATTTTGGTGTTAATTTGGAAAGTAGCTCTAACTATTCCATGATCGCTACCTGTACCAAATTTGTCTAGAACCTTGACATCTGTACATATTTCTCTTTTGGTTTTATTAACTTACTTTTTTCAATTATACATGTTAGATTTTAAAAAATAATACAATTGGCCAAGAACAAGTGAATGTATTGGTCTGTCACATATAGAGAGAAAAGTAATAATAAGCTGAAAATAATCGTTGAGTTTTGCTTTTATTGCTTGAATATGCTTCAGTCATCATGACTGGGGGGTGTTTTTGCAGATTACTTTATCTTAGGAATGTTTCCTTCTTGGAATACATTAGACTGGTAATTGATGGCCGCTGACTTGGTTTTGTTTTTTAATTACTGGTTCGAGATTTATGGCATTCGTTCTGCGTTATGACATCATATCAACAAGATCTAATATACATAAAGCATCAAGTATTAACGCCATACTAATAAGAGGAAGGTAATTGGCAGATTCGAACAAATATGTTGTTGAAGAAAATTTTAGCGGAGTTCTTTGTGAGTTTGTTATGACTTTGTTTAAAAAATGTCAGCAATACAATCGTAATAAGATTATTGAAAGGAACCAACAAAGGTATGAATTTCTCAACATTTTCCTTGTATAAACTTCATTAAAATTTATTCATATACATAGGCGTCACTAATAAATTTGAGACCTACAATTTTGAATAAGTTATCAGAAAATTTATCAGTGAATCCTTTGTATTTGAAAACTATACTTTGTTCCCGACATCGTATATGACCCTATAGATCCAGCACACATAAAACCTACATTGAAAACCGTGATATATAATAAAATTTAATAGACATATGTTTTATAAGATAAGCCGACTTTTAGTATTGACCTTTGATGTACTAAATAAGTTAAATTTGAATAAGATTTTCCAGTAAGGATGATGCTTTTATCAAAGTGTCTTCTTGCTTCTCCATAAATTAGTCATGTCTCCCAAATATCGACATTCAATTACGAGACTTGTGGACCCCAAGCCCCACCGTTCATACCTCCATTTCCTCAAGTGTTTACGTGCCAAAATAAGGAAGATGCTACATTTTTATTTTTATCACTGTGCCCTTCTGGCATATGAATATTTAACAGCCGAGCCGACGTAATCTGTGTCAGGGGAACAGAAAGTGGCCAATATGAGTTTCTTTAGAACCCCACACGACGTTGCTCCCCTTAAATGAAGGGACCGCGTCCCGAAATTAAGACGCAAATGATTTCTGATTTATGAAAACATTGCGGCTGGCTCGTTTTAAATAGGGGCACAGGCTTTTGAATTAAGGAAGCGACTGTGTAAATAAATCTATATTTGAGAAAGCATCTATCATATATCCTTAATTAATATATCGATTTAGTAAATATAACTGAAAATTTTAACACGGAAATCCATATAGGTTGGAGGACATACACAGAATGGTTCAACTGGGCGTCTTGCTAGGAAAGCCGGGTGTATTTATTTAAACGAAATAGTTTTGATAATGAAAAAGTAGTTGCGTTACTATGGTCTAATCTATGTCTATTGTTACTTATCTAAATATTTATTGAAAGGGATTGCGTATTTAAGGAAAAGTCGAAATCTGGTCTATTGCCGACATTTGGGTTTTGATAGTTTTAGTTTAAACTTTATTGTTCATCATATTTGTTGTTAATTTTGTGCGTCGGCATGCCCGAATTGTTAGTTTTTTTGGGAATCAAATAATAAAAATTACAACAGAAAACAGAAAAAAGTTAGGACAATTTATTTTTCAAATGTGAAAAGTTTAATGACAAAAGTTTTATTACGGTTTTTAAAGCCAAATATATTGGCAGATTATTATTGGTTTAAAGGCAGATTTTACTGAAATAAACCTTTAGAAGTTTATTCATGACTATGTTAGTGCTAACGTTCTATCAAATTCGAAACGGCAATGAACAACGATTAGTACTGTCCCGTATGTTGTCAGTATCTCTTGTTCAGATCTTCTTTTAAGATCTTCACTTCCACGTGCTGGAATTCCGCAATTGACTTTTTGTGTTGTTAAGTTTAGTTCGCCGAAGTAACACAATCGAAGATTGAGCGATTCTACTAACGCTTGTTTGCCTTGCACAATCTGAATCATTCAATAATTGAGGTTGTGCATGACGTTCGAAATGTGGTGAATTGATCAATCTTTCATTGTAGGATTATGCGCATTAAACCTAACAATATACAGGGTGTCCCGTAAGCTCATGATCAAAAGGGTACTGTGATATTATTTGGACCAAAAGAAGACAATTAACAAAAAATGTCTGGTTCCTCTGCTATTGAAGTTCAAAGTTCTTCAAAAAATTTATCGTTTTTGAAATACCGGGAGAATGGTCCGATGTATTTAAGTGAAACTCGCTGTGAACTTGTTCTTATGTAAGACTCATATTTTGATGAAACAATGGAGTTTCATTCATTTTCACAAGATTGTGAACAAATGATTATTGCATCAACCTAAAAAAAATGAGCTGATTTCATCCTCCAACTAAAAAGTTCTAGCAGTTGTAGTGTCACGACACTCGAAGTTTGTTGAAAACGGCTGAATTCGACTGTTTCATCAAAATATGAGTCTTACATAAGAACAAATTCTCAGCGAGTTTCACTAAAAGACATCGTACCATTCTCCCGATATTTCAAAAAAGATAAATTTTTTGAAGAACTTTGACCATCAATAGCAGAGGGGCCAGACATTTTTTGTTAATAAAAGTTAGGTCAGATATCGCAGTACCTTTTTGATCATGAGCTTACGGGACACCCTGTATAGATATAGATTTTTAAAGGTTACGGTTATTACATTTTATTCTGCTCGCTGTCGTAAAGGTTTTGTCACTTGAAATCTACGCTATTACGAAAATTGCATTGCAGCTATATCGTTGGAAGTATTGACTCATTGAACAAATATTCGGGAGCCCACACTTCAAACAAACTAACTTCTTATATTCTGTTCATATTCATGACGCGCATAATCTATATAGCCATTTTAGCTCAATTTCTCGACAAAGCAGTTCCACAAACTTATAGTTTGCTAATGTAGCCATTTTCTCCGCTAAATCAAATAATACACAATAAATTACCAGTTGCCTCTAATTATAGCAATCCGACCAGTTTATTAGGAAGAGAATCATCCATCTCAATTACAAACGGATGTGATCGCTGCCGTGAGATCTCCAAGATGATATAAAGAAAATAAATTGATGCCAGTTTCGAACCCCGAGTCTGAGGGGATTATTCTTCGGCGCTTCTGCATTTCTAATTAATACATTTCCGTTTCTAATATAAGCATTTTACTTGGACATATTCCAGTTTAAAGCAAATTTGTTTTGTCATGTGAAATACTGTTATCACACATTGCAGTGGAAATAAAACGTTTAAAAATGCCCATCTAAATGTTGAGGAATACCTGTTTATTATCAATTATCAAAGTGTTTTTGTCTCAGCACTCTTTTACATTTTACATATTTCCGAAAATAAGTGTCCAATTTTCATTGAAAAATTATTCGGCTATTTAAAAGCTTCAAAATCTGCGTTTCTCACAGTTTTTAGATGCCCATCTTGTTATTGAAATTACTAATGAAAATATTATTTGTGCATACCTAAAACGGTCAAAACTGAATAGCACGTAGGGGACGTATTACTGCAAATTTTATTATAAATTAAAGTGAACAAACCTGCAGCTTGCTCGGGAGGATTTAAGTGCGACATGGTGCGACATGGGCGACCGCGCGATGTAAACTTGCAATTCGAATGCACAAAGTGTTTTAATTTACCCAAGAGTTAGCCAAATTAGCAAAAACTACAGTACTTCTAAAAATGTACCCAATATGGGAATGAAATTGAAATTTATTTAATTATTTTTTTCTGTCGCTACCTTCAGCTGAGTAATTATTATTATCACCTTTGATTAGTTTATCTCACCAGACGGGGTTGTTTTCGAATCCAAGCATTTAAACTTAACATAATGAATATTAAGTATTTCTCGATATGTCATGACGCTGTGAAGAACGTTTTATCGATATTTGCTACATCTAAAATTAACTACCTTAATGTCTTACGCAGGTAAGCATGCAGGCATAGTCAATCGCAGCGATTCGCCGATAAAATCAGCCGGCATAGCGAAGAGCGAGTCAGCAGCGAACCAACGGCGGTATATCCAATTCTGTATCCAAAGTATCTCGATGTACAGTATACAATATTTCGAGACCTCGATCGGTATTAAATAGCTTAAAATGTTCTTAATACTTTTCCGATATTACGCCCAAAAATACCGAATTCAGCATATGTAAGATCGGCGAACGAACAATTATAATAATATTTTTATCTCGGCCAACGGATATTGTTATGCCAGTGCTGCGAAGGGGCGACAAATTGCAAATCGAGATCGAATTTGTTAAAATACGTCTCAAATGTTGAATACCCGATATGCGCCAATATTGTCGATAAAGCAAGCACTGCCAAGTCTTCGTCAACGTTGGGCGATTTGAACGACTTTTTGTTTATCATTGTGCGACTTTCTTTACCTAAACCTTGATAACAATGATTCTGTGTCATCTATGACGGCGACATTACGGCGAATCGGCGCTGCTTGTTTATGCAACCGGCGTTAGAGTTTGTTATAGACACAAACAGTTGATGCAACTGGAAGTATACGTACGTATATATAAAAAATAAAGTTGTGCCACATCGAATATGATGCAGAGTTTAAAATGCGAAATAGCTCTGATACGATGAAAGCTGAACAAACAAACTGATGTTATTAGTTTGCTACTTTTGAAACGCCAATTTTTGATATAAAAGATATTCAATTCAACACACATTTCATAATACTATTATGAACTTGTTTAGACCAGTTTTTCGATAAAACTAAGAAAAAATATGTTATTAAGATGTTATTAATGGGTAGGAATCAGCTCCAATTGGGTCAGAAAAATTTATCCAGTATTACAATAACCAAGAAGCATGTTTGTTATGTTATGGATTAATCAGACCTCCAAAAGATTATCCTAGGTACTGCTGGTTAGGAATCTAGACTGATCGGCAGTGTCTGGAAGCTAGACTGACAAACGAAAAGACAGCAAATCCTAAAGATGATTCCATCTCGATTTGACAAATAGTCTTATCCAAATGTGCCTTTTAAGAGAGACAGGGCACTTTGAACATTATCCTTTTACAGGGTTGTTTTGTTATCAATGAAATGGCTTTAGTGCTTATCACAAGCAAGACCAAGGCCCAGATTTACATGGTCTTGTTAAGCAACAGTCGTGTTCACCAAGTATAGTGGTCTCCGTCTTGGTTTCGTGATGCATGTTAAGTATAAGTGTTCCTCTTACCTTTTAAAAAAGAGATAATTTAAATTATTTTTATAAGGTTAACATGAAAAGATAATGATAACCAATACAACACAATTTTCGTATGTTCTTTTTATTAATGGTCAATTAAAAATATAGAAGTTTTGAGAATAGAGAAAAGAAAATTATCTTGAAATTTGAACTTCTAGACGCTTATATTTTCAATGCCAGAAGACATTCTCTAGCTCTCTTTAGAATTCTCAGAATATCTAAATAATACTGTAAGAGAATATAGAAGTAATAGAAGTAATAGAACTACCGAATTTTGAACTCGTCCGAAATTTCGAAACGGTGGTTAGCAGTGGATGACAGTGGATGACTAATGAAGATTTCTGTGAGACCGTTCAATGGGAATCACATATGTTGGAAATCTGCTTGATGGTCGCCAGTGATCACGGTGGTTCTGTGAGACCGTTCAATGGGAATCACATATGTTGGAAATCTGCTTGATGGTCGCCAGTGATCACGGTGGTTCTGTGAGACCGCCGGCTAATTGTGCAACATTTTCCTAATTTAACCGACTTCGTATCTCTTGTAGTTTCGGAGATCGCCACTTTTATGTCTTGGACACTCTGTATACTTTTATTTGGTATAAAGCATGTTATCCGACGCCTACAATAAGCAAATATGGGGACGACCAGAATTTCTGATAATGAACAAAATCACTAATTAGGGTGCTTCTATTTTGTATGAAATCAGCAAAGCATAATATATGATTTTTCAAATTCATCGAAACAAAGCAGCTTGTTATTCTAAAATACGCTGGAGTTTTTGAAATTAATAGAAAAAAAACAGAAAGTGGAAGCTTAAAAAAATTAAAGTATAATATCCGTCCACAAATGTGACCCTTATGTTTAAAATTTGAAATCGTTTTTACCCCCAAATATAGTACATATAGGAGTTATCTTGCCTTCCTCTACCTACATATAGAAGTTAACACATAAGCTGTGCAATCCTTCTAGATAAACAGCAATGTGAGCAATTAAAAAATTACTATGTCCATTAGCCTAAGAACTAGAATTTTCAATAAGACGATGTACTGGAGGTTTATCGTTTCTTTACTCCAACTATCCCATTACATGTCATTTTAATATCCCTTGTTCCTTGATGTGGCTGAATTAAAAATGTAAGTTTGAGATCAAATTATAAATGTGAATCAGTATCAACCCGACAAGTAATTTTATTTTTCACTCTGAAAACTCGATGACCAACACCCGTCAAATGTTAACCTTTCCACGTATGAAGATCTGGATCGAGATTAAAACCTTTTTGAATCTCCAAAAACGCTTTGATCATTTATTCGGTTCTTTCCCAGGGCAATTTTTCATTTTAAATAGTCGTTATTTTATCAAATACGGACATTTCTGTGAGGAATCAACCAATACACATTATTTTGAGAGTATCGCCAATGCCGGTTTTGTGGTGGATTTAGTCCTTATCAGCGGGCAATAGAGTTTGAGTAAACGGCCAAATTCAAAAACAACTTACCACCCTTCCCTATGAATTTAAAATAGAAGAAATGATTGTTAGTAATAGAGCAGTTTACAAAAACAAAAAACTCCTTGAAGAAGAACAATGCATTGCGGATATCCGAGGTCTTGCTTTCAGTAATTTATGCAGTATGTTTAACAATCAACTAGGTATTTAGTCTACTTTGCTTATAAAGTTCGTTTGTTATGTAAAGTTCGTTTTGTATAATTATGCGTAAACATGGTGAAGCGCTAATAGACATTATGAAAGATATAAAATGAAAGATATTAACGACAATGTTGTGCACAAATGTTTAAAAGCAATGAGTAAAAATCCTTACTATCTGCGGCCGAGAAAATACTGATCAACCGTGAATGGCCTAAAAACAACATTAAAGGGGATACTGACTAGTAATTCATTTATCAAACATTTTGTATACTGACACGTCATCGTCACTTCGTTATTTCGGTCGGCGAGCGAGATACATGTCGCCCTAATTTTGAAGAGAGCGAATGGTGTTGAGTGAGAGCGGTCCGGGGGCACTTGATGAACTAAAGTCATCGATCATCCAATTAGTTCGCCGATCAATCATCCGATGCCATTTGCTGGCTGCTCTCGTCGCAACACGCTCATCAGTTTATCTGCATACCGCGGAGAAACTCAACTTTACGCGTTTGGTTGGTCATTGGGGATGAAAATCACTAGAATGTCAGTCTTTTAGGAACACTGCATTCTCCGAAAGTGAAAAAGTGAACCAGAAAAATCTAGCTTTAAAAACAAATTTGCAAGCTTATTCGTTTGTGATAATGGAATATTAGATTTTGTTTTTCGTGTTACTTCTTTCTATTTCTTGATGCTCTTTGTTGGCTATTTTACGATTAATCTCGTTATGGCTTGAGAAGCACGATAAAATAGTTTAATAAATTGATAACTCTGAGTGCATTCAAAAAATGTCGTTGTATATTCAAAACATTTATAAAACTTTAGTATAATTTAAATTCAAATCGACGTGACCAAAGTAACACAAACTCTCCATTTTTATATTTTCAACTTTAAGTCATATTTGTTGGTTTAAATGCAGATCTGCTTTTTTTGGTCACGAGTTATCTTTATGTTTCGGCATGCATACATATGAATTACACTCTTTTTTGTTTGGTATAGAAAACAGGCGTGTTTTTTTTCCGAAATTTCCACTGACTGACTGAGATCGACTTATCGAACCAGCTCACATTTTGCATTTTGCGTAAAAATTCTAAAGATTCCTAAAATTCTGTTTGGTTTCAAAAAGTGCGCATGTCTGATTACCTACAAAATATACAGGGTATTTTGTAAGCACATGATTAAAAGAAAACGTTCTGACTTAACTTTTACCGTTGATTGAAAGAGTATACTCT